CCCGGGATGCTCAGCCAGAAGCGACGCCTCTGCCCCCGGGCCCCCGGGGAAGGAGGGCCTGGGCCCGACTGGAGAGCCAGGACCTAGAGGGGGCTTCGAGGCGTTGCACGCAAGGACAGGCTTAAGCTGGAGTCCAATTGACAGTCAAGGGATGGCTGGGAGCAGGCGTGAGGTCAACAGAGCAGTGGCCCAGAGCACGGTCTCTGCAGCCAGATTGCCTCCTGTTTCATTTCTGGCTGAACTACTTACCAGCTCTCAGACCCTGGACACTCTTAATTTTCTCTATGCTTCAGTTTCTTCCATCTGTAAATTGACATAATAATAGTACCTCCCTCTTAGGGTTGTGCCTGGGACAAGCAAGTGTTTGGTAGTCAGTAAGTGCAAAATAATCATTCATTCAATAAAAAGGCATTGCTTCTGACAAAAGTCACATTTCGGTCATTTTTCAGGAACCTAATCTAAGTGTTCAAATCAGCACTACGTTAAATAGGCTACTGTGTAAGCTCCCACTGCTGCTTAAAAGTTCTCAAATCTTCATCTTTTGTCCCATCTTTCTCTAGGTCAGCTTTCCTTTTTTGTATCATGGAAATTGTCAAGAGTCGTAATCGCCAGGGTCTTCCATCAAGAGATGCCATAAAAAGATGAATGATGTAAACTTTTCGACGCTGTAATTAGCTGACAGTCAAATGATTTATTCAATAGAAGCTAGAAAAGTTAGGCTGTGCAAATAACTAAAGGGCTTCCTGTCCTTGATTCCAGGAACTAGAATTACTAAAGCTGGCAACACGGTTGTTATTATCTCTCTTTTCCAGCTGGTGAAAACTGACACCAAGAAACTGGAAGAGGAGGGGAGGAAGGAGGAGGCAGGGTCACAGGCTCTTTCGGAGGATGCAAACTTTGAGAACTGTGCGTGAGATTAGGTCTTAGATGGTCTCTAAGGCTCCTTCTAGCTCACAAGTGTTGTGATCTTATTTGTACACTCTTTAAGAAAATACACATGTATCCTCCCCTTTGGGTCTTCCTTCATTCCTTTAAACCAAATTTGTGAAGACTAGTGTTTATTTTTATGATCCTGACCCCAAAACGGCATACATAGTTTGATATAAGAATTGGGGTAAAAACAGATCACGAGTTGGCAGGACATGGGAAACTTTTTCAACACCCAGACACTTCTCCAAAAGTTAGGGAATGCTCTGATGAGCAATCACTCAGATTGGGATATTCTGAATTTCTGAAAGGCAGACCCCCCCCCCCACACACACACACACATACCCCGCCCACTCATACAGCTTTGTAGCCCCTTCTGGACCAGCAGATTGCTTTGAACATGGTAGGCCCTCAGTGACTGTTTATTGAACTGAATTGTCGTGTTTGTGGTTGAGGTCTCATCGTTTCGGGAGACCTTGGGAACCACAGAGACACTCAAGAAATCTTACTCAAGGCACATCACTGCAAACATCATAAACAAAAACCCCAAATCCCTAGTTAATGAGTTAATGGGATTTTGAAGGAACAACCCTGGCCGCTGGCTCATTGAGCAAAATGAAGTGGAAATTTTCAGATATGTTTTTCTGTAAATTATATGGGTAATTTTTTAAAACTTTATTTTGGTCTTAATTATGAGCACCATTGACTCAATTTTATACTTCGATAATAGCACTCTGATGCTATAGTGTTATTAAAGTTCAGAAATCCCCACATTTTTCCCCAAGTTAAAGTGTCACCAGTGAGTTGTGTCACCTCAGTATAAAACCTGTATCTGTTGTTAGGTACAATTTCAGGGGCTTGCCATCATTTTTATTATTAAGCATCTTAGAGGTATTGTTAAACTATAAACACAGATTTTTATCTTTCTGGTTTACTACCATGTCTCCAGGGTAGTGATTGACATGTGGTAGGCATGCAAATCCACTTATCTATGGCATGTAATAAATATAGAATTTATGTCAATGATTATCATGGAAATAAAGATGCAATCCTTTTTTCCTCTAAATCAGAGATTGGCAAATTTTTTCTTAAAGGGGAAAGATAATAAACACGAAAGCAGCCATAGACAATATGTAAAAGAATGAGTGTGCCTGTGTTCCACCAAAAATTTACCCATGGAAATAGTTGGATTTGACCCAGAGGGTCGTATTTTACCAACCCCTAAATAATTATATTTAGGTTATATTTATCCCATGATTATATTCATTCCAACATGAAATGCCAGATATTAAAATACCCTTTAACTGAAGAAAGGGTAAAAGTTTGAAAGCACCAAAAAGTGAAAAGACATATGGAGTAACAAATTGTATTACCAATTAAAACATTTCACAAATATCAAAGGTTTAGAACTACGTCTCATGTATTAGAATGGAATAAGATAGATGGATATTTGCATTTCATTTTTGCAAAAGTTATACGTTATGCTAATGGAAAGACTTAAAATGTTGCCAAAAGTCAAAGTATGTGTTTAAATCCCCCACAGGATGCCATAATAACTAAGGCCAGAAGTACAATCTGTGGTGAAAACATAAGAATATAGGACATAGAGAAAAAAATTCTGCAAAGCAAATCATGCATCCTTCACTCTCATCTTCAGAATATGGCTGAAAGCGTAGGTCTTCTGTAAATTGAGACTTCGAAATGTGAATCCATGGCTATTTGGTCCATTTAATTTTTTTAAGAAGGGGAAGCAGATAGTTCTCTTAGGGGAGGGAGATTTTTTTTTTTTTTCTTTCAGTGAAGCTGTGGAAAGCCTTGCAGTGCACATTTTCATCCTCACCAGCTGTAGTACTTTCTGAACTTTCATAAGGAACCAATGCTCTTCCTTAGGTTAGGAAAGTCAGTTCCAATGACACTGCACAGCATTGTTCTTCATGGTTAGAAAAAAAACAGTCAACATCTGTGTATGCAGTATAAGTGAAATAGCAATGGATAACCAACAGCTACATCCACACTGCTCATATTAAAAAGTTATCCTTGGGGCCGGCTCGGCGGTGCACTGGTTAAGTTTGCATGCTCCGCTCCAGTGGCCCGAGGTTCACACGTTCAAATCCTGGGCATGGACCTACACACCACTTATCAAGCCATGCTGTGGCAGGTGTCCCACATATAAAGCAGAGGAAAATGGGCACAGATGTTAGCCCAGGGCCAATCTTCCTCACCAAAAAAAAAAAAAAATTATCCTTTAGTTTAAAAGAGAAGTTATTGACTGAAGGGCAAGGAAGAAGAGTCTATGGAAGGACTGAGAACCCCATAAAATTGTATGCAAGATGGGTACCCAGTTTGTTACTTATAATTATCCAAGGCTGTCTTGTTTGTTTGTTGGTGTACTCTTATTTTCTGTCTCTCTGTCTTAAGAATGTACGTGCCTATGATCTCACTCATAAGTAGAAGGTAAAAACAGCAACAAACTATCACATAGAGACAGAGACTGGATTGGTGGTTACCAGAGGAGAAGGGGGGAGGGAGGAGGGGGAAAAGGACGATTAGGCACATGTGTGTGGTGATGGATTGTAATTAGTCTTTGGGTGGTGAACATGATGTAATCTATACAGAAATCAAAATATAATGATGTACACCTGAAATTTATATAATGTTATAAACCAATGTTACCGCAATTAAAAAAAAAAAAAGAAGAATGTACGTGCCATGAGAGTGGAGAACTTCTCTCTTTTCTTCTCTACTCTATCCCTTGGTCCAGTTCAGTGTCTGACACGGAATCAGCTCTCCATGACGATTTGTAGAAGGAATTAAGGGAAGGAGGGAAGGAGGGAGAAAGAAAGAGAGGGAGGGAGGAAAGAATGAAGAAAAAGAGGAAGGAATAAAGGTATGAAAGTATCCATTTTTTCTGGACAGAAAGTTCCTAACTTTTTTCATATGCTCAAAAGAGTCTGTGACTCAAAAAAAAAGAAAACAGAAAGAAGAAAAGAAAAGAAGGAATGACTGGTTATTATCTCCTCTATTCTTTTGCTCACAAGCCTCTCTGCTCCTGATTACATATCAAAATGGTTATCATGGTTAGCCAGAAACCTATGATGCCATATCATTTGAAAAGTGTCTCCTTATGTTTTTCGGCTTTGGAGAATTTCTTCTGCCTGCACAACTTATAGCTGCCATACTTCAACCCTCCATTTGGCCATCTCTTAGATGTCATGCCATTTATTTATTTTTGTTTGTTTCACCAAACAGAGTTGTATTAAAAAGTATTATAAGATATTGACAAAATTGAAGTAGAGTTTCAAGGCATTTTTGTCTCCATTGTCGGGCGATAAAACTTTTGCCTCTGTGTATATGATTTTTGAATTAACTTTTAAACTCTTGTGCACACAAATCTAAGTTGTGTGGCAGCTAGTTTTCAAAGATGGCTCCCCAATGACCCATGCCTCCATAGTCACATCCTTCTATATCCTCCTCCTCTTGAATCTAGGCTCGCCCTGTGACTCACTTTTGACCAAAATAATAGGGTGGAAGTGATGTTAAGTGATTTCTAAGGTTAAATCATAAGAAGCCTTGCAGCTTCCACCTGGGTCTCTGAAATACTTACCCTTAGCTCCCTCTCAGAACTCATCACCACGCTGAAAGAAGCCCATGTCACATGGAAAGGCCACATATAAGGGGTCTGAATGACAACCTGCGCTGAGCTCCCAGCCAACAGCCAGCATCAACTGCCAGCTGTGTGGGTGGGCTATCTTGGACATCCAACACAGTCAGGTCTTTAGATGCCTTGAGCCCCAACTGTGCAACCCCATGAAAAAACCCCAAATGAGGATGTCTCAGGTGAGCTCAGTCAATTCATGGAACCACGAGAGCAGTAATGAGTTGTTGTTTTA